GACACAAGAATGTTTGCTCTAAAGTCATCAGGCACTTAAGCTGGAAACCTCTGCTCTATGGGTTTGAGAAGCAAGGTGAATCCTTACAGGAGGCAGCAGGTGTTGGCACAGTGGTGCCTTGGCTCTCCTGCAAGCGGCGTACTCTCTTAGTGACCTCACGAGTGAGCTTCTCTCTCAGACTGGGCATCTCCTGGAGCTTTTTAGCTTTTTGCTGCCTCTGGCTGGCCACTGTAGAGCTTAGGGTCTTGAAGGTCTGTTTAGAAATCCCTTTGGTTCCCTAATGATGAAAAAAATAGTTCTGTCAGTGCGTGTTTTCACCAAATTTTGTTCTACCATACTTGCACTGTTAATTTTTCATCATGTGCCATCCCTTTACAGATGCCAGTTCTGTTACCTAGTTTACATGATTAGAAATACCACAAGTTCTAATTTTGAAACACGACCCATGTTGCCTTTTCACTTAACATTTCAATGCAGATAGTTTTGCCTAATCAATCACACAAATACAGTTTTCATATTAGTTTTATCACTAATCCCTTAGCCCTTTTAACTCACACTTCTGTCTGGCAGTTTACTATAATTGTATACGTATCATTGCACGTTTATTTCTTGTGTACTTGAATGAAATATCTTGACAAATATACTTTGCAACAGAACAGAGATATATGTAGTGTACAATAATCACAGCTACAGTATCTTAAGTAACTAGGGTTGATAATGACAAAGATACCCTGTGGTCAGAGGGCAATGAATACATTTTGCTTAAATTGGATGAGCACAGAGCTCACCCTTTCCTATTGTGAGACTGGCAGGGACAGGCATGATGGCAGCTCTTGTCTGAACTACATGCCCTAGAAGTCGTAGGGGAATGGCCTGCCACATATGGTCACCTGACCAAGAGGAAAAAAACAATTGGCCAGGTGTTGATTTAAAAACCAGGAAGCTGAAGCTTTCACATCCAGATTTCCTGTTCCACATTTGTTTCACATTAGCCTGTCTCTGTCGCCATCTGGTGACACAGGGCAGATCCACTTTACTGCATTGTAGCAGTGAGAGAAGGAACATACAGTAGGGAACAACCACGAACGAACAATGAAGACGTGTGAGCTTTTTGGGAGGGTCCAGGCATAGCTGCCTACAGTAGTTGTTGATAAAGAGGGATGGAAGAAGTCTAGAGTTCTAGGCTCTAAGAGAGCTTTGATCCTGTGTTTTGTTTTGGTTTTGTGTCCGCAGTCCCTTGTATTGGAAGTAAAGAACACTCACTGTTACCTTACCGCTGTGTTGGTGTATCTCTTCCTGGAACCTGCTTATTAAGAGCACCGGTGCAGCACACCACCCTTAGGGTTGCCACACTATGAACGTGGTGATGCATACACAGTAACTGTTTCGAAATACCTCAGTGTATTTCAAAACAAACTTCTAAATTCACTTTTTTGTTTGAAAAAGTGAAAGAGCAAGATCTACTGCAGGGTGTTCAAAGCTGTGGCAGGGTGAAAGGTGAGCCGATTGGACTGTACCTTGCGGAGCCCCATGCTCTCCAGCTTCTCCTCCAGGGTCTCTTCCAGAATGGGCCTGAACTCCCGCACTAAGTCAGGGTTCTTCCGTAGTGACTCTAGCAGCTTCTGTCTCAGATTACCCATATCCTCAGGTTCTGCCAACAAAACACAACACAGGCTTGTTGACATTATAGGGTATGTTATCTGCCAGACGTTTGTCAAAGTAGATCTTTTGCATTTCCTTTACAGCTTCTACAGGGTTTGCTGATCCTGCTATTTCATCATCATCTGCAAACCTCACTAGTTTACTAACTAGACCAATCTCCATGTCATTTACATTATATTGGTTAGGAAATGTTTTACAAGACACAAAAATGACCTGCTGATCGGGTTCCCTGTGGCACTACATTTCAGCTTTCAGCCCTTCACTGTGCTCTGTTTATCATCCATTAACCAGTTCTCAGTTAAATAAGTAATTATAAGAAATAGGCCTAAGTAATTACAGCACCAGTTTGTCAGGTTTAGTTGGAGCCACTATTTGATCTCCAGTGTTCCTCTGAGATCCAGCTCTTACAATGAGCGTCAAACCTGCTAAACTGTAACACCTCAAGCCTGCTAAGCCCAGGTGACTCAAGAGGGATAGAAAGTCTTTCAAGTTATATGGCAGGAGGAGTCAACCTTTCACTTTTATTCCACTCCATTCGTCTTTGCTCCAGCTAATTCTTTATCGATGTGATTTTCAGCATCTGTGGTGACTATTTAAATATCTATTTGACAATTAACTAATTCGAAATTTTAAAGTCCTATAATATCTAGGAATGAACATGCCAAGATTGACCTTCCCCGTTTCTTGAAGGGAGTCACTATTACAAGTTTTCTAAAGCCCTGTTATATACTTTACACAACCATTTGTGACTGTGTTCATAACAATGTGCCATATATACAGACAGCACCCAGACAGTGGCTAACTTATAATTTTGCAAACCTCATTGCTCATTGATATATCTTCACTTCGTCAAAGGCTTCAAATTATTTTTCTTCTATAAATACCTTCTTCTTCCTCATCTTCCTCTTCTGTAGACTCTTCTTCCTGGATTACTGGAGCTGGAGCTGAAACTGATGAAACTGAAATGATAGTTAAACTTTCACAAAATGTATCACCCTTTCAAAAATATGCATGATCAGATCATAAGATATAAAGACAAGAATTAAAAACAGAAAAAATAAGTATTGAAACAAACATTATTTATTATGTTTTAATGTTTTTAAGTAAATATTAAATAAATCAGAGACCAACCTGAAATAAATTAATGTCAGTATTAAAAGAAGGCTGTGTTGCACCTAAAGATACATGTATATAAAAATCAGATAAATAGAAAACTGCTAAATAGACTACTCACTTATGCTTAATAATA